CTTCATCCAGGTCATTGATGAATAAATTGAACAGAACTGGACCAAGTCCCTGGGGGACACCACTAGCTACAGGTCTCCAACTAGACTCTGCACCGCTGATCACCACCCTCTGAGCTCTGCCATCCAGCCAATTCCTAATCCACCTCACTGTCCGCTCATCTGTCCTATACTTCCGGAGCTTGCCCAGGAGGATGTTGTGAGGGACGGTGTCAAAAGCTTTGGTGAAGTCAAGATAGACGACATCCACCGCTCTCCCCTCATCTATCCAGCCGGTCATTCCATCATAGAAGGCTATCAGGTTAGTCAAGCAAGATTTCCCCTTGGTGAATCTATGCTGACTACTCTTGAGCACCTTCTTGTCCTCCACATGCCTGGAGACAACGGCCAGCATGAGCTGTTCCATCACTTTTCTGGGGACAGAGGTGAGGCTCACTGGCCTCCAGTTGCCTGGGTCCTCCTTCTTGCTTTTTTTGAAGACTGGTGTGACATTGTTCCTGCACCTCCCCCGTTCTCCATGATCTTTCAAAGATGATGGAGAGTGGCTTAGCTATGACATCCGCCAGCTCACGCAGAACTCTGGGGTGCATCCCATCAGGGCCAATGGATCTGTGGGTATCGAGTTTCCTTAGGTGCTCTCTGACCCAAATGATGATCTCTAGATGATGATGATCTCTCTAGAGATGATCTCTAAAGGTCCCTTCCAACCTAAATGATTCTTTTTGACCTAAAACCTAGCTGCCTATTTTTGGCCAGATGATGACTTCAAAACCAAAGCATTAACTGTAAGATGATTCATTACCTTTGAAATGTAGGTATGGGAAGAAGTGGGGGGGAACAAAGAGATCTTCTAGTATATATGGGTCTGCTAGATGAATTAATTACCCAGTTCTCTATGGGCAGCTAAACTGAACATAAACAGAACCACAACTTGTAGAGTTTAAGTGGTCCAGCTGCCAGGGAAAATGCCATCTGCATTTAACCTTGTTTTTAACTCCCCATGCCTTAACAACACCTCAAACTGCCTGCTGTCCTCAACCTGAGTCTTTCCTAGTCCATGGGCAATGAATCCACTCAGCAGCTTCCAGCACTTCTCCAGATTCCAGAAAAGTTCTGGCCTTACACAGTGGCTGAAAATTAGAAATTTGACTGAGATTTAACTTACAACTGGTTACGGTATTATGCAGTTTTAGCAAGGATGACAACATAGAATACTGCAGCAAAAGGCACCTGTGTTAGTTGATTAGTTGCTACAGGCCTTCCAAACAGCTTTGAGGATAAACATTCAAGACTTAGAAATGGAATAAACCAGCATGTTTATCAAAGACAGAACACATAAACTCAGCAGCTTTCTTGCCAATTCAGTTGATTTCTTGTTTATGAATTGCAGGAACTTGTGTTTATCTAGACTTCACTGGAGTGTTCAGTATGACATGATGCGGGAAGTTGGTATTTTGAAGGCACTACAATTAATACAGGAAAAGCAAAGCAGAACAGAAGTCAGTCAAAGAGCAACAGTGATTGTATTTATGGGGATGCAGACTGGAAGTTATTTTAGTAGTTTTCCAAGTGCTAGATTTGGGGCTATGTTTTTATTCACTGTCCCACACAAAATAGAATCTGCAGGATAATACAATGTTGGAAGATGCCTTGAAGGCCCTGTAAAACTGCCCAATCCTAGAACGGCACTGTTTGAAAGAAGACTACGACAAGATAGGTTGGATAGTAGAAAGAATGAGGACAAATGCCAACCTGATGTTTCTTTTATCTTAAGAACAAAGTGTCTGACTATAGCACACCCCTCCTGCTATCCTGTCTATATCTTGGCCTTTGTACAGCCACATGATCTCCTCCCACTTGCCCCACTAGTGTAATCTGAAAAGGGGAAGGAAAAAAAAAACAAAACACCAAGAAATGAATGGAGCATGTAGATGTATTGGCCTGCAAGGGTTAATTCTCCTTTGTTCTTAGGGGCTCAAGAGAGAGAAAGGACAGGAGGAAGCTATTGCTATAGATGACTTTCTTTTCATGGCAAGGTTTACTGACACCTTCTTAAAAATACAACCAACATAAGCATTTTAAAGTGTGGCTATTGACATTTTATTTTTTAAAAAGGCAAAAAAAAGAATACATTATTTTAGGTGACTGTTAATGTGTACAAAGTTATGCATTTGAAGGAATTCATGCATTGAAGAAACAGGATTTGAAAGAGTTTCTCTAAGGCAGTGCCATGGGACCCACAGATTCTTTCACAGCCAATACTGCTCATTTCAAATATAGCTGTAATAGCATGGCTTTGGGAGAGCCAGGAATCCTCCAACATCACAATACTGTACAGAAGCCAGTACAGGAGGTGCCTGAACACCCAGTACCTCCATTGAAATTTTGTGATAGAAGGGCTGTGATTATCAAGGTAGAAACCAGGATGCTCGAAGTGCACAATGCCATAATCTACAGCTATGTCAGTAAAATCTAACAGTATCTCAAAGCTGTCAGAGAATAGGCAGCTCCTACAAATCTTTTAATTAACTCATCCCAACCTTGATATTGAGTAACAGCTTTTAAGGAGTAATAGTTATGTATCTATATATATATTTAAAAAAAACCACAACAACAAAAAACTGCTGTGAAACTTACACAAACACACACAATTTTAGCGACACCATGTTTTCAGTGGAACGTGGCTAGTAGCTGCTTGCAGTTTATATACAAAGCTGATTGATTAGAAAGGCTGCTACAGGGATCCAAGCTTTCTTACTGGGTTAACCCCTGGCTAAACCAAGGATTTGTTATGTGTTATCTTCTGTGATGTGACAACATTAAAAACTGTGATTAAAACATCAGGGTGCAGTGGTTTGTAAACATTTTGTCTTAATATTAAGTTAAAATCCAGTGCATTCTCACTCTTTGCTCTGACATTATGGATCAACCAACTGATATGACCTTCTGGGAGTTCCTGGGAGGCAGGAAAAGTTGGGCCAATTACAAATCTTTTAGACAAATTTACTCTTTGTAGCAAGTCATTGATTTTAGAGCTACTCCAAACTTGGATGTGATGCATCATGGAAACACAAACTGATTTTTGTTTTCCTCCAGGATGCAGGAGCAATTTACATTTTGTCCCACTCTGGAGATAGGAGCACAGACTTGGCGGGAAGCAATTTGGCCAAGCTCACAGGCCAGGCCAGCAACATAGACTAGGAGAGCTGCAGATGCTGAATGCCCCGGCTGCACTGGACAGCAATGCCCATCTCTGCTCGGACTCCTACAGTCCTTTATCCCCTTTTATTAGAGAAAGATTGCTTTATATTTTTGCGTTTGGGGAACAGCTCACAGGAAAGATATCTAAAGCAAATGCATCAGGGATGTACAAAGAAACTAGACTAGCATATTTCAAAATAGGTTGGGGGGGAAGGGGAGAACAAAAAACTCTTCCTGTTGTTCTTGAAGCTCTCCTTGACTCCTTTCTCCTCATTGCTGACTGCAGTCCTGAGTAATATATGTCTACCAGACCTGGGTGGCAGGTTTCTCAGACCCTTTCCTTGTGCTTCACGTTAGCCAACTTGACTGTTTCCTGCTCAGAGGCAGGTGGAGAAAGCTCATCGTGACATCCAATCATCAGCTGATAGACCATCACTCCTGCAATTGCCCCAAGGAAGGGAGCAATGATTGGGACCCACCACCACTGCTTACCAGTCCTGGAAAGCAAAGGAAAAAATGCATGAGATGAGAACTGCAGCTTAGGTATTAAGATACTTGTGTCTGGAGCTGTAACAACCTAAGATCTAGTCGTCTCCAAACATCATCATTAACCTGCAGAAGACAACAGCCCCTGAGTAACCACAGCAACATCAAGGACAGACATTGTCCTCTTTGCAAGTTCAAGTGACAAGCTACTTCCAGACCGTCTCTTAAAAGGGATGGAAGAAAAGTTATTGTGGTACTCAAGTTAGACATCTTCACTTTCCTTCCACTTCCTGCAGCAGAGCATGCTTTGACAGCAGGCAGCCTGTATTGCTCACGGTTCTCCTGACAATTTACAGCAGAAACAAAATCCAAGTCTAAGGATCTGCATTCACTATCACTCAAGGTCTATTATAGACAATTTCAAAGAGCTCATCTTGAATGTGAAACAGAACATCTCACAGATCCTCCTAGGTTCTGATCCGCCCTGCTTCTATAATTTCTTAAGTAGACAGAGAAGTCAGTGTCTTAACAATTTTTATAAAATTTAAAGATACCTCACGGGTACTAAGACTCTTCAGCATGACAGAAACTTCATCTGCTTGAACTAGTTATTTCACCATCACCACACCCTCTTTGGCCACAAGTTTTTTTTTTTGTTGCTGGTTTTCTTCTATTTATTTATTTTTAATTATCAAAGACTTACCAGAACACTTCAGTGCCCCAGCCAGCAATGGCAGTGAAGAGGCGAGGCCCAAAGTCCCTGGCAGGGTTGACAGCGTAACCAGAGTTGAAGCCCATGGAGGTTCCAATAACAAGGACAACAAAGCCAACTGTGAAAGCCTCCAGCCCTGTGGGGACAGGGTTGTTGAAGGGATCCACAATAGCCAAGACACAAACAATCAAGGAAGCAGTGCCAATGAACTGGGAAGAAATGAGAAGTCGGAAAAACACACCAATCCAAATTAATCTTTTAAGCAAGTTACTTATCACCTCTAATGTCCTGTGTGTTTAGAACTCACCCTTTGGAGCAAGAGAGGAATACTAAGTGAACCCATGACATTATTACATCCCAATAAACTAAGCCTCCACTAGGGAATAGGAAAGCGGAAAACGCTTCTGGCAGCCAACAGGCCGGATCAAGCTCTTGCTTTCCCCCCACGCCACAGAGGGGCAATGAATGGCCATTTCAATGGACAGAATGCTGAAGACATCTTCCTGCTACAGCAAGGCAGCTGCTGCTGGCTTTGGAGTTGGTGACAACTTCAGAGGGGAGATGGCCTCCCTCTGAAGGTGATCACCCCACACCCACTTGACTCTTGGCCTTTGCAGCCAAAACAGTACAGTGGGAGTGAGGAAGAGTCATCCTTTCCTCACACTGTGAGGAAGCCACTTCCCTCAGTGGTTGAGACCTCTGGTTTATCCCTTGTCAAGTCAGACAGTTTCTGCCTTGCCAGGAGACCAAGGTAACTAAAAGAGACATAATGAGGTTTTGCCTTGCCCTTTTCTTCCTTTTGAAGGATAAAATTCCTTTGGGGAAAGGGGTAAGAGAATTGAGAGAAATCACAAACCACTGGAAGAAAACCCTAGAGCAGCAGCTCAAGCTCATTCATGCAAGAGCCCCCAAAGGAAGTGCCCCCAAATGTCCCAGAAACAAAGTCCAGACTGTCAGACTTGGATAATCTAGGCATCCAAGGCTGAGCCAGCCCTGCTGTGCAGGCATCCTTGCACCATTTACAATATCACTTCTTCAGCACTTGCATCCTAGGTGGGGCTTGCTAAGAAGTACTATTTCAGAGGGGAGGTAAAAAAAGTACAAGGTTGTCTGATAGCATGAGGGAAGGCATTTCTGCCAAGAACAAAGTGGTGTCTTTCCACTGATGACCTTACAGGTGTGATCTAATATACCCCCCTTTAGTCCTCTTAGTTTAAGTGTCCTTTTTGGACTTGTTTCTCCCTCCTGGCTACTGAGAGACTCAAGTCAGCTCTAGAAGTCTTCTCTTGAATTAATTCTTGGTCCTAACCAAAGCAGAGGCCCAAAATCACCACAAAATATTCCTCTTCAGTTGCTGTCATTCTCTCAGCACTCTCTTACCTGGTCAAAGAATCCATTCACAGTGTTCAGATGCTCAGATGGGTAGGTGGCAAAGATACCAGCAGTACCATTTGGTCCAGTTACATACAGCTGGTTTTTCCCAAAAGCCCAGATAGCATCTAGATGTCAGGAGAGAGGAGGAAAGAGAAGAAAGAAAGGTCACTCATTTGGCATCATACATCAACGAGGCACTTTCCTGTGAGACAACTAGAACATAGGTCCCATAGAGCTATGAATATTGAGGTAGAATCCCCTAAGCATTCTGTTCCTACACATTGCAAAATCAGTAGGCTACAGAGGAAGACTCAGCGTGTGGTCCACCATAACACTTCAGCAGCCTAGCTCAGATTCAGATGGTCAAAGGTCATGATCCTAATTTTTCTTATTGGCCAGGCACCAGCAAAGAGCTAGAGCCCACCTAAAAGCAAATACTAACCAGAGTCTTAATTCCCACCAGGTGGGAGTGCTTGTGGAGTTGCAGGAGTCAAACACCCTGATACTGTTATGATCTGGTCTACAACATTGGTTAGGTTTAACACCCATTAAGTCATGAACTTAAACAGTAAGAGCTGATTGCTTTGACTTGCTTATGTTTCAGGGTTACATAACCACAGCTTTTTCTGATTATTAGCAGTACTAAACGTTTTTCTTAATATCTAAGAATGTTTAGTTGTTGTCATCGAATATTGCTCTGTGATTAGGAACACCATGTAAAAAGAACAGAGGTATGAGGAACTGGATTTCTGGGATATCTTCCAAGACACTACCAATACCCTGATAAGGGCAGACAAAACTGTCCTATTGTCTGGAAGGTAATATGAGATAGATGCAAAAGAGGTCTACTGTCAAACTTAAAAAAAAAAACTCTATAACCATGCACAAGTACACAAGCACTAGAAAAGTTTCATCAGCATTTCTGCAATATCTGTTCTCAACCAGACAGTAGCTACTAGCAGGATGATTCAGTAGTTGATCTTACAGTGGTTGCTGCTTAAAAGATAAAGACTTGCATGCATTGACTGTGATGCTTGGCCTTCAGATTGATTTGAGGAATCTTGAACCCATTATCACCATGAGAATGAAGCTCTGCTGGCTCTCCCGCTCTGCAAGGAAATGCTTCTCTGATATAGGAAGGAGTGTCCCTAAAGACTGCAATGAAGAGCCACAACACACATGCAATTCTTGTACTTACCATGGTACAGCCCAAAGACAATGCCAGCTCCCAGAAAAGCCCCCAGTGTTTGGGCCAGCGCATAGACTGGTAGCTTGATCCAGGGCTCCCGGGCCAAGAAGCACATGGCAAAAGTGACAGCTGGGTTCAAGTGTCCACCTGCAAAAAAGATTTGTTCGTACATTTTAAACAGGCAGAATCTGAGTCTCATAAATGAGCCAAGGAGCATTAGTTTTCAACATAGAAAAGTCGGGCCTATGTAACAATTCTCACACTTTAAATTCATCCCATGCAGAGTTGCCACATACCTGACACCTGTCCTGCGATCAAAATGCCGAGTGTCACTGCAAAGCCAAAGGCCAGGTTAACAGTCAGGAAGCCTCCATGAGACCCTTTGCTGAGCATGGTCTGTGCAACAGAACCACAGCCAAACAGCTAGGAAAAAAGAAGAATAGATTGAAGTTACCCTCTGTGTTTCCTGTCAGGGCCAGTTACTCACCAGTGCCCAAAACTGCTCTGCTTACATCTGTGCACACCACCCAGCCCAATGACAGATATGCCACAGTACCAAATTACAAGATTTACATTACATCTTATGCTAGAAGCCATATCTTCTGTACTTTAGGGAAAAAATGCTACAGAAATGGTGAAATTCTGCATTTTTGACTCTACCAGTTTCTTCTCATCTACGAAATCCTCTAGGGTCTATCATTTTTGTCTTTGTTCCTTCCCTTTGGACACCTCCGTTCCCTCATCAAGCCTCTTCAGCAAGTAGCATATGTACTGACCACCACTGAAAATTCCTCTTCTTGGCTCCATCTTCACTTTGTTCCTTCATCTTTTCCATACCCAATCTCTCAGGTCTTTCCTAGCCAACCCATGACACTTTCACACCTCCAACCTTTAGTCCAAGTACCTAGGATTACTTTCAAGAAGGAGAGGGTATATATGGCAACTTCATCTCCTGACTTACTCTCATGCTTCAGAAAGAACCAAAATTAGGGCCAAGACTGAAAGCAAGATAAGCTCAGAGTTCACAGCCATTTCTACATAGAGAAGGCTAAGGATTTTGGCTAAACATCTAGTTTTGCAAGGGCTCAAGGTAGGTGAGAAGAATCTTGACTCAGCTAGACTGTTCTCTGGACCTAGCCACACTAGCTATTTACAGTGTGACTGTTCAGATAAGGGATCTGGGTATGTTAGTTTTTTAAAAAGCAACAACAATGACAGGGGCTAACTTTGCTAAAGCCATATATATTTCCAGAAATAAGAAGGCCATATTTAGCCTAGCATGGATGGAGACTACTTCTCAGGCAGGCCAGGTTGACAGAGGGATTGGGGCAGCTTCCTTGGGCTGAGGTAGTGACAGGGATCTGAGCCCCAAAATTCACCACCTGCTATGGGTGCTCTGATCACAGTCCACAGCACTCCAAACCAGCTGTATCTCTTCTACAGGGGAAAAAAAATAAGTATGAATGAGGCAGCACTATACAACTGGTCTGTCTCCTCAGTATTAACATGGCACACATGCCAGCAGAGAGAAAAAAAAAAAAAAGGGCACAGAAGTAGTCTTTTTTTTCTACTCACACCTATGGGATATATGTTTACATTTTCCACTAACTACCTGAATCAATTCTCAGTTTACACCTGAGATTTCACCATCAGATACCAAAAGCATCCTTGAATCAAACAGGGCCTCAAAGATTACAGCTTTGTCCTGGCCTGCTCCCAGTGGCCAGTGAAGCTGAGCTCAAGGCTTGCCTTATTGCTTCCTGCTTTTTTAATCCCCACCACCCCAGGATAACCCAATTTCCATGGACTAGGAGAATCCACACGCAGTGGATAAGTCACCAAATGGGCACCAAATGGGAGATGACATTGGCTCTCTTCACTCCTCTCACATGCCTGTTGAGCAATGCACAATTCTTATTGGGGCAAAGCCAAAACACAGCCAGTGCACCCCCTTGATGAATTACTAATAAAGCAAACACTGCCTGGCCTGCTGGGAAAGGAGTGGTCAGGTAGGCCACATACTGACTCATGAAATGGACACTCTGTACACAGGCACCTTGTGACAAGAGGCCAGGTCCACAACACAGGGCCTCATTTGGATTAAAAAATGCAAACTAAGAACCTGTAGAACTTGTTAGTGAACAAGAGGGGACATCCAGCGCTGTTCTCACTGGGTGCATTTAAAACAGCCCCTCCAGTACCTGTGTCCTGAGAGCTACCAGATCAGGAAACCTAACCCAGAGCTGCCCAAATGAGAACCCACGGCAGGGAAGACTCTTACGCAAAGGTAGAGAAGACAAACATTGCCTGCTTTGAAGCACAGAGTCATAATTCCTAGCTATGTCTAAACCAAGGGAAGCCTAATTCCTCTTGAGAAAGTAAATACTGGATAATGCCCAGGGTGACATCTTTTCCTTTCCTGACCATAGCTGAGACCCCTCATGCTTTAGACAGAAGTTTGGATGGTGTATCTGGCTGTGGTATTCTGTGCTGAGGCCACACAGCCTGTTGGCATGACCAGACAGGGGACAGCCACACAAAAGGCTGCTTTGGAAATTTGAGTTTGGCAACATTAGTTCCAGGTTCTTCCTATTGAAATAAGTATTTGTATTATTCACTCAAAAGAACTGGCAGTTCTGCAAGAGAATGGTGGTTGGCTCATTAGCCACATGTTTTTTTAGTTGCAGAACCCACAGAGTAAAGTCTTCCCCCTGTTTATCCACAGGAGACTTCCCTTAAGCTGGAGGAATTCCAGTGTTGCACTTCCCCCAAAGCTATTCCCTATCCTCCTTTCCCCCATTCTACACCAGGTAATTGTTCTCTAGCTTTTCCTCACAATAATCTATGGGCCATGGAAAAACACCTGAGAGCTACTCCACAGGAGCATAACAAATATTTATCAGATGAGCCTTAAGCGCTATTCAGATTAATTCAGCATAGCGCTGGAAAATCTGACCCTCAGCAGATAAAAAGTAAGGAGATATTTAGGGACAAGTTTGAACTTTGATATGCGTGTGTGCAGTTCCACCCTGTGCCAGCAGAGTCCATTAAGCATGCACACAGTCTCATACACTGTATCCATCCATGGCATTTGACCTTTAAGAATCAGTTCAAATCACACTCTCCAAAGCTTTTGTGGCATGTGATTTGACACTACACCCTCTAAAATAGAGGCCCAGTTCTCCAATCAATGTTAGTAGGCAGAGCTAAACTGCAGTGTGCTTCTACAGGCCAGCCAGGCAGAGGAATAACCTCGACATAGCAGATTGCACCAAGCAGTTGTGGTGTATGGAAATAAACAGTTATAGTGTTTGTATTTAAAAACAATAGAAGTGACTGCTATCATCATGCATATGCAAAATGCACGTTTGCATGGAGGATTCATTTTGCCTAGTTTTAGGCATATGAATTATATGAAAATTCTGAATAGGTCATCTTGGATTCCCTTCACAGTCAACAGAGAAAAATAGCAGCAACAGGAAGAGAAGCCATTCTCCAAGATGGGCATCTAGGTCAAGTCAAATGGCTCAGTGAGGAGTCTCACTTTTCTCCACTGATACAGAGAACACTCAAGGTGACTGACACTGGCTGCCCTCTAAGGTTGGAAAGAGTTTATCTCTTGGCTCTATAGGTTCTCCCCACCTCCTCCTCCTTTTGCTACAATCTTTTGAGACCACTGCACTCACTTACAGACACCTACATCTGGACCATGTACCATAAGCATGTACTGTCATTTGCTCTGCCACAATACTCAAGGGAACAAACTTTCAACCTAACTTTATATCCTCCTATGGCTGATTTAATTATGACTCACTTTTCCGAGTCCTTGCTCTTCCACGTGCTCACGTTTTGCTATGGCAGTGGCTACTACAATTTTTAATCACAGTCCTCGCTCCACTCACTGCATTTTCCATCAGTTCCTTTTCCCAGACCACACTAGACAGTAGGGACCCAGTATCCATTTTTGAAATGATTGTCTCTTTTCCATACAAAAATAATTCGTAGTTTATTTAAAAAGCATGCATCTTTTAAGTCTATGTAATTAATGTGAAAAATCCCCAGTCAACATCGCACCACTGCCTTGAGGAGACAGCTGCTCACTCACAATAGAGAAAACTTCTCCAGCTCTTGATTTTATAGACCTACCTCCAACACATTATATTTTACATCTCAAATAGAAACCCAGGACAAACAGTCACATGGCAGCATATACATCAGTCACATGTTATACTAGGCCCACTCAACAACTTTAAAAACAGTTTTAAAGCACTAATAAAGTGATTGCAACAGACCATCATTGTGATGTGTTAAAAGTTACTCTAAGAATTGAGGTGATTGCAGTGCACCTATTAACCAGGTTAATAGAAACCTGCTCCCTAATTTCATCGTACAGATTTGAGCTCATCCTAACTTACCCTGCGGACAGGGAGGGTTCTCAATCCTCTCCCCGCTCCATGATCTAATTCAACTCCTTGCATGGCAGAAAACTAATATGGGAGAAAAGCCCCACAACCCACCCACCATTTTCAGCAGG